ACAACTTTATCAAAAAACTAGAAATTTCTGGCTGGATATGTTATGTGAGAATTCTGAGGCAGGTTCTTAGCAGTGGCATTGTTGATACTCATATTTCCAACTTTGATCTCACTGTCATATTGTGTTTCCACACCAACAGCATTTGAGAGTGCCCCTTTCTTCTTATCTTAAGCAACAATGGATATTCACAAACAGGAGGAAATAGGAGGGAGGAGGCAGGAGTCACTGTAGCTAAGGCTTTGTCCTGAGTTTCAAAGCTGGGAAGAAAAGAGGGGCAGGGCTGCACATGCAAACCAGGAAAGCACAGAGTTCCAGGGCAGGGCGCCCACCAGCTTGGCCACTCACCCAGTGATGGACGTGTCCACCTCATGCATCAGTGGCACCGTCAGCGTGAGGGTGTTGTCATGCAGGGATTCGGAGCGCTCCACGTTGCCACTGTGGGGGAAGGAGGCATGTACAGGTCAGAGCCAGCTCTCCTGCAGGCGACATCTTCGGCCAGTATCCAAGCTCAGTCTCCACACTTCTGAGGCTGACTGCACCCCCTTTAGCCCCAGCTCGGCCTTTGGCTCCAGTATAGAGTCACAGCGGGCACTGTATTTCTCAGCTGTGCTCTTCTCACAAAGATGTGAGTGCAAGTAGTGCATAGTCGGGGTGACCCCATGCAACCCCAGAGAAAAAGGGAAGCTGGGGAGGGAAGGAGGACCATAAAGCTGTGTGATCCCGAGGCTGGTGTGGTGCTCCCTCCCGCTGGAGAACACAGAGCACACCAGTCTCCCCAGCTGAGCCATGGGGCCAGGTCTTTATCCGCTGACTGCTGAGACCTGCTGCTGCCAGAAGACCCTGGCACCTGCACTATGTTTGCAAGCAGGGGACTCTGGCCACAGGAAGCCTCAGGCAGAGTGACTGTGCTGGGAGCTGCCTGGTGGGTGGCAAGGGGCGAAGGGAGGGCACCAACAGCATGTGCTATTCTGTAAACACCTGTTCCATGAACAGCAGACCAGCAAGGTTAGGGCACTGCAGCCAGGGAGGGCTTTGCCGGCATTTAGGAACTGTTTCCCGCCTGGAGACATTGCCCACCACCCATGGGCAGCCACACCTGGGAGAGAGGCCTGGCCAGCCCCAACACAGTGAATAGCTCGGGAGCTCCTGCCACAGTCTGTCCCCAGGCAGCCCCTTTGGGGTGAGAAAGCGCAGAATGGGAATTCTTGTGAGGTCCCTCTGGAAAGGCAAAGGTGAGGGAGCTGATGCTGTCGAGTGGCTTCCACCTGCACCCTCACAGCATGAGCTCACCAGGGGAGCTGGAGGGCAGGGGACACCGTCTCCGACCCAAGGAGCAGCGCAGATGGGTTAGGGAACTTGACCCAAGGACCTACAGCAAACCAGGCCCATCTGACTCCAGACCTGGGCTTTTCCAGTGTGATTCCTTCCCCTGGTCACAGACTCAGGGCGCTGGAGGATCAGGGAGGGAACAGGAAGAAAAAGAGGGAAAGGGGGGAAGAAGAAGAGGAGACAGAAGACCTGGTTTCTTTTCACTATATTATTAGACTTCAAATCAGAATTGTGGTTATTCCAGGGAAGCAACTGCCTTGGAAAAGGTCAGGCTATTGGGTGCATGTTGCCAAGCCTGGCACTTGCAGCTGGTCCTGCCGCACGGCGTGGATGTGACATCCCAGAGAATGCCGGGGTGGAACATGTGAGTCTCCCAGAACCGCTGAGGTTTGGGAGGGACCACCCCCCGCCACACGGTTCCCTGAGCAGGTGCCAAGCTGCCCTCCCTCTGCCCCCTCTGCCTTCCTCTCCCACCCAGCAAGTGCTGAAGGCAACAGTCCTGAAATAGTGCTCACATCCCCTCTCCTTTTCTCTTATTGTTCTGAAACAATGGTGCCCTGTGACTCTGACCCCTGACTCCTCATCTGTCTCCCCATAGGGGGTGACCTCCATCGCTCAGAGGGCAGCCAGTGTGCAGAAGCAGCAGGATCAGGTGCTCACCCAGCCTGATTTCCTCGCCCTTCCTTTTGGTGGGGGACAATAAATGCTGCAGAATCACTGGACTGGCCTCTGGCCTGCCAGACCCCAGTGGATGGGATGGCAACACCCTGGGGCCTGCGCTCTCCCCCCACCCCGCATCCTGCCAGATCTGAGTAATCGGTTCCTGACTGAAGCGCCACCCCTTGCCCTGCCATTTGTCCAGCCACCTGTGGTTGCTGGCTGCTCAGGCGCAATGGTCTCATCTGTCATTGGGTGACTGCTCCAGACTGAGCTAAATTGAAAAGTTGAGATAAAGAGGTTAAACATCAAAAGGCTTCCAGTCAGTCTGCAAGCCTGTGCCGTGCCATGGCCTGCAACGCAGGCTGCTGAGAGGAGAGCTCTTGAAAACTGTTTCGTCTCGGCCTATGTCCTCCTAAATCCCCAAGTACGCAAGAGATCTTTAAAGGGTGGTGACGGGAAGGAAGGAACAGTTGATATTTCTATTGTGGCTTTCAAGATAAGGAGCCTTAAAGGTCTCATCTTAGCTGGGGGTCAAGGGCTGTGGGTACCCTCTAGGGCAGTAAGACCAGATTGTCACTGAAGTCTGGGAAGAAAAGCCTTCCTCAGATGTTCTGCTGTGTGTTTAACAGATAATGCAGCTTCCTTTAACATTTGTGATTCAAGGATCAGAAGATTCTGATATTTGATTATTTAAGCAGCCAAGTACCAGGCGTTCCCTGACTCTATGTAGCAATAACAACATACATAAGAGGATGTTTTTGAATTTAGAAAGTTAGGAGCATTTTCTTATGTGCCCTGTACTCATCTGGGAAATAGAAGGTTCTGAGTGAACCTACTGTTATTCAGTATAGAGCAAGGTGCTCAGGGGCTCTCAGGCTTGGCTGCTGCCTAGCATCACTTGATGATGAGGCTTTAATGCCCAGATCTCACCCAAACCACTTAGATCAGAATCTCTGTGGTGGACCAGGCATCAGTAGTTTTAAAAGCTCCCCTGGTGGTCCCAATAAGTACCTAATATCGGAGCACCCTGGGGGCTCTGACACCTCTCATGAGCCCTGAGCGGGGAGGGAGGCAGGTGGAGTTTCCTCTTTCTGGCAAAGGAAGTCTGTTCTGTGTCATATTTCCTTCCCAAATGTCCCTTCCCAGGAATATCAGCTGCTCCAGGTGTTGAGGGGCCAAGAGAGAACATTGATGGATCTGCCCACCAGTAGTGGGTTTTCTGTGGATCCAGGAAACAGCAGAATGAGAATTCTCAGGTATGAATGAGCATCTGCCTCCCTTTATTCAGTTCAATGATCTCAAGTTCAGGGACAAGCTGCTGCATTGCATCCCTCCCCACTTCAAAGACTTCCAGTGGCTCCTGACCACTTTGCAACGTGGTGCAGACCCTCTGAGGCTTCGTGGGTCCTCTGTGGCCCAGCCTGGTCTCCGTTTCAGCCCCATCTGCCACTGCCCCTGTAGGTTCACTGTATGCCACTGCTGTTATTTACACCTATGTAATTTACTCTGTAGAGCCTATAGCAGTATATAGGTTAGACCTCACATTTGTTCAGAATTCCAACCAGTGCTGAACTGAAGGCCAAAAAGTCATCACCTTTGGAGTGGAAACTGGATAACACTGAGTTAAAAAGGTTAAATAACCACTGTGCTCTCATTTTTAGGAGGAGAACATTCTCCAAAATACCAGAGATACTGCTAAAAAATGTAGTAGAGAGCAGGATGAGAGGCCATGCTTGTGGTTGTGAACTGAAGGGCATGAAAATGTGTGCCTCGTGGTCATCCCCAGGGAAAGGCATCTTACTTCTGTGAGTTGTACGGAAAGCTGGCACTGAGGAAAGTCCCCAGAGAAAGAAAACTAAGGGTGGTGGGAGATGAAAATAAAGCTCCCTGTGTCCGCACCCCTGCCTGTTGCTGCAGGGCACCATCCTGTTGTATTCATGGGGCCTGACCTGAGCCTCCCAAATGCCTAGCCACCAAAGATGTGGACGGGGTCATTAGCGAGGGTTGGGGAGAGAGCAAGATTCTAGACTTGGGAAGGACCTTAGTCTGACCTATTGGGGCTTTTCTGAAAAATCCAAGAATCCCCTGTGGGGTGTGAATGACAGAGCTTCTCCAAAATTTTTGGAGAAAACTGCTCATGGTGTGGGGAGGGCGTCTGTCTTATCAGTCAGGCTCTGGGGCTTGGTGGGAACAGTCTGATGCATGCCCAGGAAGTGGAGGAAGGCCTGGCTGGTTTTCCCTCTCCTGGCAGAGGGGGTGACCGCAGAGTCACCTGTATTTCCAGACACTGTCAGGGCAGACTGTGGGGCGGGATCTGCATGTGAGGGCCTTGAGGGGCCACTAGGGCTCCTGTTTGGTGGCAGAACCCGGAGGGACCTCTGGCCGCCTCAAGGCTGAGGATGGAGGGCATCCTGACATGGCCACAGCCCTTTTCCTGTTCTCCTCACACCCTCACAACCCCTGCTGTGAGCTCTCAGGAAAACAGGGTAGGAGGCAGGCAAGACCTCATCCTGGCGGGGAGGAAGGCTTCACTGTAAATCGAGCTTGGATCATCTGTGGGACAGGTCACTTTAATCACAGATTTGTGAATCGGCTTTGAGACTTGCAGTGATTGTGGGACTTTGCATTAGTAGAGAGTGACTCACAAATGCACAGGACTGTCCCAGATTCCCCCCAGGGACAGGTGAAGAACCCCACCAAGTGGGCCTAAAGAGAGTGGGGAGAGAAAGGAAGGGGCTTGTGGTCACCGGTGAGAGCCCAGGCTTGCTGGGTGCACTGCTACATGCCCATCTCCCTCCTACATTATTTTATTGTTGGTTATCTGCCCTGAAGCACCAGCACCCCACCCCCAAGAGTGGGGATCTGCCTGCCACCTTCAGTCACTGCAGTAGCTCCCATATGTCAGTCACATGGTGCCTGGCCTGTAGTAAGTGCTCAAACCCACATCTGTGGGATGAGTGAGCAGAAAATGCCTGTCCAGGGCCAGCTCTGCTCTCCTCCTGGGGGGCATGGTGGTTTGTCCCATTTCTGGACTGGAACCCTGCTGAGATGGTTTGAGACAGAAACTCTCACAGTCATTCCTGCCCCCTCCAGCCCGGCCCGGCGCTTTCTACTTGGCAGCCCCTTGCGTGGGCCTGGAGAGCAGCAGAGGGTCCAGAGCAGGACTTCTTGCCCTGCTGGGGCTCAGATGCACAGCTGAGCTGGCCCCCGGGTCCTGCCCAGCAGGTCACCCCTAGTGGCCCCATGGGCTCATCTGCAAAGTCTAGGAAATGACCTTCTGTTACTTGGAACTTAGTGCAAGGAGCTCCTTCTCCATTCCCGAGAGTGTATCCTCTCCTAGGAAGCTTGGGTTGAATGCCCTCATTCTAAAAGTGGCCATGTGGCACCAAGTTCCATGGACATTAGCCTCGTTTGTCTGACTCTGTGCCCTGATTCTGCAGGTCTTCAGGCTCTCAACAGCGAGCTAATCTGTGACTCCCAAGATGAGAGGGGTGTGCCTCTCAGGCCCTGCTTCCATCTCCTGCTCACCATCTCTCAAACGCCTATCAGCCATGTGGTTCCTGACTGGGCTTTCTCACCTTTCTCTGTGGATCCTGCCTGATCCTGGCCTTCAGGGTGTCTGGTTTGGACCACCTCTGGGATGGACTTAGGACCCTTGGCATGAAAGTTTGGCTTGGTGATTAGGGCAACTATGGATAAGACATGATAACTGGATGCAGTGCTTGATCTGTGATTAGACTCTGGACCAGTGAAAAAATGGCTAAAAAGGCATTACTGGGAGAGCCGGCACAACTGGCACATGGACCACAGACCAGAAAACGGCACTGCATCAGTGTCAGGGCTCCTGGATTTGACTGCTGTGCTGTGGTGGTGCAAGGGAAGGGCCTCATTCTTAGGAAATGCACATGGCAGTACTTACAGGTAAAGAGGCATGATTTCTGCAACTTACTTTCAGCCAGTTAAGAAAACAAAACCATACAGAGAAAGAGAATGAAAAATAAATGAGGTGAAATGGCAACACTGGTGAATCTGGGGAAAAGACCTATGGCAGTTCCTTGCATTTTTCTTTGCAACATTTATGTTAAATTTAAAATTTTTTCCAAACAAAAATTCAGATAAAAAGGTTGCCTTGGGCATCAGACCTACATCCCACCCAAAGATTCTGTCTTCCTCTTCACCCATCTAAATACCTCCCCTTCCATCCCAGCTGTCAGCCCATCACATCCAGATGGCACTTGGAGGCATGCCTGGGTTCCAGCTTGTGGAGGCAGGTCACAATCCCAAGACACTCGCAGCCATGCTGGAGAGAGATGAGCACATGCCCAGGGAAGTCGTCATTGCACCGACCCTCCCCTGCCTGGCACCTGGCTTCGAGGAGATGGAAGAGGCCTGGCCGCGCCTCAGGCTGCAGGTGCCCTCTCCCTGCTCCACGGGTGGGGTGCAGTCGCATGTGCATGAGATGCAGCTCCTGTCTGACAGTCACAGATGACATTTATGAACTAACGAACCACGCGAGGGGGACTGGAATTCTCACCTCTCTGGAGGTCCTCAGCTGGAAAATCATTCTCTCCATCTGGATGATGCCCACCCCCTCCCAAATCAGTCTGACCTGGTAGCTGGGGCAGCAGAACCAGACCACCAGCATCCTTGCAAGATCCGATTCCACCTAGCAGTCTGGGGCTTTACCACCGAACTGTTTCTTCCTCCTTGGCATCCTGGGCATTGTGAATGCATGACCAGAGCATGTCCTTTCCTGGTCCTAGACAGCTTTTATCTTTGAAAAAGAAATTTTAAATGTCCTTACCTCTGAGCAGTAATGATGAAGCTAAGAACTTCTTCTTCCCCAGACAGGTGGCTTGTATCAAAGATCATGCTGAATTCATACTAGGGAAAAAGAAAGGATCATCTGGCGTCAGCAAGACTTCCGAACTTACTTCCTACAATCGTCCACACTCACAAGCTCTGGAGCCTCATCTGCACGACAGGCTTTGTTTTTTTATGTGTATCTTTCTGACTGTCAGGTCAGAGATACAGCTTTAGCAATAAAACAAAGCCCGGAGCACACTCTTAATGGCAAGAGGCATGCTGTCCTTTACAGCACTGAGGTTCCCTTTAGGAAGTGATGTGTTTATCTCTAAACCAGTCCTAGCCTGATTTCTCTCGTGCCCCACCTTCCCAATTTTGGCCACACCTGTATAACATATCACCTGTGACATTTACTTTGTATTTTTATTACTCTTTTTGCTTACAGACTATTTTTAACAGAAAATTTATATCCCCATTATGGATGGGGAATCCAGGAGCCATAAAGAGAGGGTCGTCATAAGAATAAAGATAGCGAACACAAAGCAGTGTTGAATTCTGTTGCCTGCTGAAGGTGCTGAGCCTAGGAGCTACTCTACTTTGGTAAAAAGGACATTAACAAGTAATAGGGAGGTGAGCCGTTCTCTGACTGAAAGGGGCTGACAAGGTAGTAACTTTCTAACTGTTACAGTCAAAGGTGCTGCGTCCATGCATCACCTAAAAAATCTCACGAGCCACCTTAAACCATCTCGGGCACTCCCAGTGGTGTGCATCATCTGGTCTGAGGACTACTGCCATAAGCAGATAGTTTTCACCATATACATGCCGGGCACATGTGGAAATGTTGGGGGAAGCCTTGGTATGGGTCACAGAACCAGGCTCCACACAAACTAACTGATCTTGGCCAAGGCACTCAATCCCTTTGCATTTATATAAAAAGAAGAGGTTAGACGAAATGATTCTTAAATTCCTTCAAGCTTTGACATCAATGCCTTATTTAATAACTAAATATTTGGGTTCCTTTAAGACTAATTCCAGGCAATAGTCTAACTTTGTAACACTGATTCTACTGAACTGAATGGTACCTGAAGGTAATGAGCAGTGGGCCATCAAACATAGTGGACAAGGACATCCCTTTCTAGACAGAAATTTCTGCTGTATGGGACTTAGCTTCCAGGGAGGGTGAGATATGGGGATGGAACAGGATGTAGAGCTGTGGACACAAAGGAAGAGAAAGTCAAGGGTCTGTCCCAGGAAAGAGTCAGAACTGGCAGGTCTTAATTCAATACACTAAAGATCAAGGTGAGGCATGAAGAAAAGATTTGGGCGGAAAGCCATAATCAGAGATGGAGGCCTGCGCCTGCGAGATCGGGTCAAACAGGCCAGGCCGAGGGAGACAAGGCCAACCAAGGCAGGCTGCTGGTGTGGTGGTGAGGCTTAGCAGGGGTTCAGGAGCCTGAGACACCATAGGCCTGAGGGCCAGGGGAGGGCAGGCCCAGCTGCAGAGAGAAGCAAGCCCCTGCTGGGTCACGTCCTGGGCTTTCTCCAGGGAATCCCCCCATTCCCTGCCTCTGGGTTGGGTCTTGCTCAGGCCTTAACCTCTGTCTTGACTTAACCTCCGTGGAAGGAAGGCAGCAACATTATGAAGCTGGGAAAAAACCCACCAGTCCAACATTCCATACTTGTATCAGCTCTATGAATGTTTGAGAGTGAACGAATTTTAACAAAATTCAATGCCCCAGAATTCAACATTGCTTTGTTTTCACATATTTATTTTTATGACCACCTTCTCTTTACTGGATCCATCTATGATAGTGACACACACTTTCCTTTTAAAATGACCTTTATGTTACGATTAGGCAGAAGCACCTCAGCGTTGATGTGGGATGTAGGCTGGATTTTACAAGGAAACAGCAACTGCTTTTCAGGGAAGTCCATTTTCTGCTGCTCAAAGGTCTCATTAATTTTGTGTGGGGAGGCTGCCCACACTTCACTACAGGCAGTGGTGCTGAGCTTCAGGGCCTTCCTCCCTCCTCCCCACACTGGGGTCTAGGGGTCTGGCCTGTATTCTGCCAGCCAGTTGTGATCCCTTTCCTAAGCACAGCCACTTTTTGAGGTTGTCCCTTCTCCTGCGATGAATGTAGGCAGAATGAGCAGAGCCTGAGGAGGCTGAGGAATCATGAACGTTAGAGCTGCTCTATTTGGGAGCTGGTACATTGGTGGGCACCAATGATTTGCTAAGAAATGAACAAACCTGTCTCACTAGCACATTCTCACAACTGGTTTGCACAACAGCTACTATGTCCTGGGACCAAAATGCCTTAGAGATGAAAACAATCTGATTCTATGACACAGGCAGGAGAGAAGGATTAAACTTTCATTTTCGGGGGGAAAGGGTAGACAAAGGGGTATGAAACTCCCTTCAAATCACAGCAGGGAAAATAGCTTCCACTTCAAAAGGCAGAACTGGTCTTTCAGGTTTTAGTTTTGATCCCCCAAATCACATCTTCTACATATCTAGCCACATGCTAGAATGCTCCGTGAATGTCTGGATATACTGTGCCATATTATTGTTTGAGCTTAGAAAATTTGGCTCCTTGTAAATACCACAGTGACTGTAATTTCTTTTGCTGTTTAGAAAAATGGAGTGTGACACAATTATTTACGTTTTAAGAGTTTTAAGAGGTCTCTTCAGGAAATTCTGAGTGCTCAGGGGAGAGAAAGGCAGGGCCCAGACCACATCTTCTCCTATGTTGTCTCAGGCACAGAATGGCATGGAATGATCCAGAAAAATTTTTTTAAGAAGGCCAAGCAGATGGTACTTGCCTAAGCACAAAGGCTATGAAGTGCCTCCCACTTCTGGGCTATGTTACATGGATGGAAGAGATAGACCACGTGCCATGGCCCCTCTGGAGGGTAGCTGGAGAAGACTGCCTGGAGCACATGGCCTCGCTGGGCAGGGCTTCGCTGGCCACCCCCGCTGCTGCGGGAGGCCAGGGTGTGGGCAGAAGGCTTGGGGCGGGTCAGCAGGCAGAGTCGGTGGCTGGACGTAAGGGCTGGGGGCCTGCTCTCAAGGACGGGCCCCAGCTCTGCCCCTTACCTTTGACTTTGACCTCATGAATGGAAACCCCACACTGCATCTGAGGAAGTCTGATTCCAGTAGTTCGCAGGAAATGCCCATTTCCTCCTGAAAGACAAGGCACCAACAGGTGGGCTGGCTGCACAGAAGCAGATGTGTGGAAGTGGCCTCAGTGGGGCAACAGAGACGCCAGAGGACATGTCCTTCCTGAGTGACGTTCTTACCAGCCATGTTGGCTCAGGCAGGAAGGGGAGCCTCTGAGGAGTCTAGTCCCCCACCCTCTGGCTGCCCGCCTCTCTCATGGGTTTCCTGGGAAGGCAGGTCAGAGGACAGACCACCCTTCATTCTTGACTGATGGTTGGGCCCTGAACCCCGGTGCTCTCCTGGTAAAGTGGGCCAGACCACATGTGAGCTGGAGGCCCCTAAGTGTTGGATTAAAAGGCAACCACGTCATCTTTCTGGCCCCTCTCTCCTAAACCTACTCCCTAATCCTGACTTTCAAGATCTTGCTAGTTTAGGAAAGATAGACTAAGCATATCACACCAAGGAAAATGTAGGGGTTCTTTCTACAGCCTCAGGTGCTGAAGGCTGAGCTGCTCCCCTGCATGCCTTCCCAGGGAGGCATGGGTGCAAGGACAGGGAGAGGTTTCCCGGTGCAGCTGGCCTAGGCTGGACTCAACACAGTGGCACGAGTAAACTGAATGGCTCCTGAGCATCTATTGGATGGCTGGGTCATCTTGTACCTACTGTGATCAGTGCTGAGGGCACAGGTCTGAACAGTCTCAGTCCCTGTCCTTAAGCTCATAGCTTAGAAGCGGGAGACCTGCCAGTGGAGAAAGAGACATTTACACAGCAGGGCAAGGCGTGGCTCTTGGAACCTAGAGTGTGCATTGGCAGCGGTCAGTAGACTGGCCCTAATGATTTACAGTGGTGGCCTTTCTGTCACCATCCTCTTCTTCACATCCCTTCCCCCAGAGTCAACATCCAGAACTTTCGAGTAGAAGCTACTGTAAACCCTAATGAGCCTGTGGGCATCAGAGGCAGCGAGCCCAGCCCTAGGGTGGCTTTAGCTCTCAGGGTCCCTGACAGTCCTGGCTCACATCTGTCATCTATGTAATTACTCTAAAGAGCGTCCAAGCATATATATATAAATTACATGATTACGCAACCCAGTTTCGAACCCCTTTTGTTAAATTCGACCCCTCGATACTGGATATCCCTTTCAAACGAGGAGCAAGGTTTTATATTCAAGTCAAAGGGCTCTGTCCTTCAAATAAGATTCATTGCTCTGAAGACCTCTTCAGTCTTTGCATGGGTGTGAAGCAGGGGCCGTGGCTTCAGCATTAACTCTGGAACTTGACAGGACCTCTATCTACTTAGCTTTGGCTTAAGACTGTCTGGAATTATTCCAGAGCTACTGAATTACCTTATTTTTGTTAATTCCAAAATGCTAGAAAATAACATTTAAGTCAGCATTTATTACATTTTTCTAAGTCTGTCTTCCACGTTACTCAGTCTGAGAAATGACAAAATTCTAGTTGGATTTTGGTGGCAATAAGCAAAAATTGTGAAAACCAAACACATCTTAAGGAAGGAGAGAGCACAGCAAAGGGTGGATGACTCCTGTGCCTCTGGACAGTGCTGCAGGAAGGCGTGTCACTGATGGCCCTGCTGGCACCTGTCAGCACCAGACAGCTGTCCCGTGGCTCTTTAGGCCACTTTGGCCAACAGGCTTTAGCTCTCTATCCCGCTCTCCTACTACAGCTGGGAGCCAGGAGGCCTCTGGTGGGCTCTGGCCAACGTTCAAGTTGCTGTGTGGACAGTATAGGGGCTCCACTTAGAGCTCCTGTATCAGGTGGGCTCCCCAGCCCCTGCCGAACGGGAGCCACAACAGCATTCTTAGCCTGTGATTGACATGCATGAAAAGGCCGCCCCTGGCCTTCAGGCAGGCCCAGCTCTGTTGTGTAACAGGTTCCAGAACCACCCTGGGACTGGGTGGAAGCTGCCTCCAGGGGGGGGAGCATTTCCTGTTGGCTCCTTCCTCTGCCCTGTTCTGTTCTCTTCCTGCCTCTACTCCCCAGAGCATTCCCCTAATAAAGCAATAGCATGGAAATCCGGCTCAGGTTCTGCTTCTGGTGAACCTGACCTCACACAATGGTCTTCACAGAGGAGCCTCCTGGCACTGAGAGCACTGGAAAGTCCTGGGCATTTGCTCCCAGGCAGGGAGAGGCAACGATGGAGAACAGGGCAGACCTCATAGGCTAATAAATCTCATTTGAGTCCCTAGTAACCAAGAGAACACTTTCCTAACTGCAGTTTGTAAAATCTGCATGGCCTTTAGCTCAGAGAACTCTAACACTGCTCTAAGACATGATTATCAGCTCTTGGCTGACTGGGAATGCAGACCAGTGAACACGCTGCCCATCCTTTGTCCCCAGTTGCCAGACAGTGTAGACATCTGATTACCCAACTCAGACACGGTGCAAATCTATTACAGAGAGAACTAAAACTTTGCTGCAAGAGATGCTGGCTTTCATAAAATCAGTGAAAGTGATTTTGGAAAACTGCTCAAATCATTGACAGCCACTGATAAATCTGGATCTGGCAGAGTTAGATTAGTTAACTGTTGAAGAAATCAAAATTATCCCCGGATGGCAGCACTTTAAGATGCTTCAGAAGATAAAGACTAATTAAATAAGAAAGATTAAGAGAAACCTTTAGGAAAGACATGCCACTGTAAAGACAACCCTTTTGTAATTGTCCTAAAAAGGGGTGGGAGGGGGTAAAATATGCCACCTTATGATATAATAGGAATATTCACAAACAACAGTTGCCCATCCAGAATTCAGTTATTTCTTTTGTTTTGCAAATGAATGCACTTATTATCTTAAAGATGCTAGCAGAGCATATAAGCTTTTGCCTTGGGTCTAAGATGTCCTTGACAATGATATGTTACTAGAGCTGTACAATGTAGGATAACATAATTGCATAATTTTTAGTTTCACTTTTTCAAGTGAAGTCCCAATCAAAACTTAAGACTTCTTTTTTTTTACTGTGAAATTTTGGACCCTGTAAGAAGAAGATTCATGTAACTGGCCTTTTCCCCAGTCCCACTTTCCCTTGGCAAGGACATCCACCCAGGACCAAAAGATGCTACCAGAGCTTCTCCCTGGAGATTGAGTGATCTGATTTAAATTTTCCAAACTTTTACCAATGCACATTACTTTCAGAATCAGGAAAACACCAATTAATATTTTTTTAGAACACACAATGAAAAGCATACTTGGTCTGGACACATTTGCCCCTGTGTTCTTAGTGTCTGGTACTGAGCCTGGGTTTGTACTTACTAAATGAACAGGCCTTGATTCACTGGGGGTTCAATTAAGGGATTACAAGGAGCAGTTCATTTGCTGGTCTGCCTGGCAGAGGGGATGCTGACCTTGGCAGAATTTCTCTCTTTTCCAGACACACCTCGGCCATCCCAGGCTCGGGAGGTTGGCCAGTGGAGCAGAGCGCCAGCCCTGCTCACACGTGGTTGGCGTGCAGAATCAGATAATGACATCAGGGAGCCCCCTTCCTCCCTATCACACAGCATTTGGTTTCATTCTGAAGTCTGACCACCAATGCAGGGCTCCTTGGGAGCAGTGACTCTGCAAAGTGCGGCTGGGGCTTACGCTCAGGTCGGCCAAGCTTGAAGCTTGACTTCCTGTTTCTTAGCTTCCTCACATGTTTGCCAGATGGAAGATGACCCTCACGTCCCTGTGCCTGGCTGTCAGTTTGGTGTTTGGTGTTCACCTGAGGCTTCCTTCCTTCTTCTGGTAACATGCAGTGTGACCCCTGGGAGCTGGGAAGAGGCACCTCCGTGTCACCTCAGTTAACACAGAACTCAGGCAAACTTTGGAAACACTTATCCTAAATTCCCTGAGCAACTGAGGAGTCACAGGTGAGCAGGGGTTCCAATAACCTGGCTAGTGAGTTAACAGAAAGAGAGTTTATTTCAAGAAAATACTTTATTGATCCCACTCAACAATGAGTCAGCCTGAGTCTCACCAGAAAAAAATAGTCCTCTTCCCAAAGAGGAATTGTTTGGGGCAGGGCCCGTGAAATTCCTACTCAGGAAGGAAGGCACATGGGTCTGAAACCCAGGAAGTGCGCCAACTTTGGCATCAGTGACCCAGCTTCCATCACTGGCTCTGACCTGTAACAGCTCCCTGTCCCTGGGCACATGGTCCTCCCCACAAGCCTCAGCTTTCTCACCTGCAAAGTGAAGTCATACCACCTGCCGTAGAGGACTGCGCCTGGCCTGCGCGTGCTGATGGCTATAAAGACGGGGTTCATGCATGGTCCCTACTCCTACTCAGTCATGGCTCATGACAGACCAGGTCACTCCTCTGTGCAGTAGCTTCTCTTTTGATGCCCATTTTACAAGGAGAAAACTGGGACACAAAGAAGTTCTATCACTTGCTCAGGGTTTCTTAGCTGGCAGTGTAAGAATGGATCTGAGGGGGGTCCCAGTGGGGACCAAATGAGGAACAGATGAGATCCCTTTTCCCCCTCCCACAAAGAACCCAAGGACGTTTTGCCTGAACAGGTGGGGATGTGGAGCCGAAGAACCAAAGCAGCCTCTAAGGAACATAGAGGGTACAGTGACTGTAGCACAGATGCCAAATGCCGCTGATGGCCTCACAAGGCGGGGGCAGTGGTCACAGATGTCCTGCTGGCTAGGAGCTGGCAGCTGCACAGTCCATGAAAACCAGAGGTCACCATCCCCGGTAAGGAGAGGGGCAAATAAGTGCTACAAGCAAATTCCTTTCTTTAATCTTATCATAACCCCCATTGGAAGCGAAGGCCCAGACTATTCTGAGACTGTGCTTTCCAAGCTTCTCTAAAAAAGTGGAGGAAGCAGGAGCGACAGTCAGAACAAATGTTTGAGACAAATGATCCATGTAACCATTAAAGCAAATTCCCCTCTGACGTGAGTGTTAGAATCTGGGAAGGGTGTGTTGAAGGAGCCGTAGGCAGCAGGAGATATCACCTGTCACAGGAGGAGCTATTACCTGACCAAAGCCCAGACAGGGGAGTCTCCTCCCCAGCAGTTCTCTTGGTCC